GCCTGGGTCGACAGAAGGTACAACCAAAGGAAGAATTGAATCTGAAAGGTACCAGGGTGCCCAGCCAAAACAGGGTGGGGTTCTGTGCAACACGCCGGAACATTTTAAGAATAGGCACACACAAACCCCTTAAAAAGAAGCTAACACTTAAAGTGAAATTGCAGGGAATTCCATTATCGATGGAACTTGACACGGGGTCCGCCCTATCCATAATTTCCCTCAACACATTTCACAAAAATCTGCAGCAGCAGTGGCCAGAGAGTTTCGTTAAGGCCCTCTAATGTAATCCTTACGGATTTCCAAAATTCTAAAGTGTGCGTTAAGGGGGAGGCCACCCTTAAGGTACAGTACAAGAATTTTGCAGGCCCCCTAGACGTGTTGGTTGTGGGGGGTGAGCGAACGAGTTTCATTGGACTCGATTGGTTTGAGGCCTTGGGAATTCAGGTAACAGGGCTAAATAAATTGCAAACACAGACCCTTGCAGACGTATGCAAGGAGTTTGCAGGTGTGTTCAGTTCTGAACTCGGGTCCTACACAGGACCTCCTGTTTCACTTAAGTTGGATCCAACGGTACAGCCCATCAGGGTTAAGCCTAGGAGGGTACCATTTGCTCTTAAGAGCAAGATTGACGCTGAACTGCACAAGTTGCTCCAGCAAGGCATTCTAGAGCCTGTAGATTCCAGCCCGTGGGAAACCCCCATTGTAACGCCTTTAAAGGCAAACGGGGACATCCGGATTTGTGCTGACTACAAATGCACTCTAAACAAGGCCCTACAGCAACATGCTTATCCTGTGCCTGTAGTGAGCCACGTTCTGGCTTCCCTTAAGGAAGGAAAAATTTTTGCTAAGCTTGATCTGGCTCAGGCATATCAACAGCTGCCTGTTGATGATGCTGCAGCTGAGGCCCAAACTATTGTCACCCATCGTGGAGCTTTCAGGGTGAAGAGGTTACAGTTTGGGGTGAATGTCGCTCCTGGCATTTTTCAGAGTGTAATGGAAAACACCCTG